AAGGCCACCGTCCGATGGCCTAATGCGTCCTGGGGGTCTGCGTGGACAAGAGAGGACCTAGAGCAGGAACCTGGAGCTGGCTTCGAAAAAGGAACGGTTCCCCCTCAAACAGTGAGCACACCTCCAGATTCCGCCCCACGACCTCCAGTCGTGCCCTGGCACCTCCTTCTTCGGGCTCTTAACCTCAGGGAGTCTGCTGACCCCATCCAAGTCCACAGGAGGCCACAGAGGGAGCACTTGCACCGCAACTTTCAAGGTGGCTCTCGCAAAAGCCACAAGGCGATCGGCCTCCTGCAAAAGAGAGTCATCCGTGGGGTGGAGGCGGACCGCAAACTTAGCCCCCACGTCCGCATGGTGGTTGCCAAAACGGCGCCAACGCTCCTCGGCTGAAATCCCAGGTGCATCCAAGTCGCGGTGGGCAGCCACCTTGGTGCAGGCTGCCATCCCCGAGACCTGGCCGTGCACCTGAAGAAAGGCCCCAGCATACATACGCTTAGGCGAGAGCTGAAGCTGCTTGGCGAGCGCCGCAGTCTGGACCACATTACTACAATCAGAATACACATGGCATTCAGAAGGGTGGGTCGACAGAACATTGGCCCAGGTGAAAGCACTAAATTCAGCACTCTGAGGAGTCTGAGGACAGGGGCCCCAAACAAGGGCCCTAAGCTCAGCCACGAGATCTCCGGACTCGTCAACCATGCAGACGGATGAGCCAGCCCTAGACAGCTCCTTGACAGCATGACGGGGGCACGAGCCATCAACAAAAAGGGGCCCCCACACTCTATTGTTGACTGGGGCTCCGTCAGGGTCGGTCTCGGGCAGCTTGTGCCAGATCAGGGTCGGACCATCGTCTTGCTCATCAGCGGTCCGAGGGAAGGAGTCGGCGGGGTGCCGAAAGGCGCCAGATATAAAGACAAACAGCTCGTCATATCTCCAGACGCCTTAGCAGACAAAGCGGCCTCAATCACCTGTCAGTAGCCTCTAGCCGAGCCGTGACAGCTTCAGGGAGAGGGCATTCCCACAGCCGATGAAAGATGGTGTCGTTGACCCCGCAATGAACACAACACGGGTCGATTTCGTACCCGAGGGCCCTGGCTCGAGCCCTAGTCAAGATGGCCTCAGTGGAGAAGGCTCTAATCCTGGCCTTCTAAAGGGCCGTGAAACGCTTGCTACGAGGAGCAATAGACTCCTTGACAACGTCATAACAAAGGCGATAAGAGATGCCCCTCCTGGCAGCAGCATCTCTTTCCAACATCCTCAGGTATCCCGCACGGACCAGGGACCCAGCAAGAGCGGGCGAGAAAATCCCAAGGGGGATGGATTTCCCAAAATCATCAATCAGGGTCATGAAATTAGACATGCTCCACCCTAATCTAACCAGAGGCATCCTCATGGCCTTGATCGGCCCCGCAACCTTCCTCCAACTACAGCTGGGGCCAGAAAAAATGGCAGCCCAGGCAGTCTTCAAAGTGGGCAGGGGGATCGCCCAGCAGAAAGCACCTGTCTGTCTGAGCCAGATCTCTCTGCTCCATCTGAGAATGGGAGCTGTGGCCGACCGCCATGTCGGGTCATTGTCCAGCAGGGCGAGGACCGTGAGAGACCTCAGCCGACTGCGCGGGCGCACAACACTAAAAAGGCGTCGGCGCAGCAAGCCAAGGTCGTGATCGCTTATGCCCGTGACTTCGGTGCCGTACGAGGCCCCCACCAGGGGCCCAGCTGAGAATACCTTCAAGGCAGTAGACCGAGTAAGTACCTTAGCCTGCCGCACTAGGCGCCGCGCCGCTCTGCCCGCCTTGGCGAGCCTGGCCTTCATCTTGGCCGAACGTCCAGCAACTCTGACAGCTCGGCCTGCCGAGTAGTCAACTCCGAGGTTGACAGCTGAACCTGTACAGCGCTGGCAAAGATGGCTGATACGAGAAAGAACTTGTGAACCCACGCATTTAGAGCTAGACGCGATAGCCGTTTTTTCCAAAGCGAAGGAGCAACCAAAAACATCCTGGACGACAGAGTCGAGCGCCTGGGCCCCTCGAACGATCGAGTCAATGACGACTTTCGGGGGGCCAGTCGACGACAGACCTTGATCATCAATGTAAACGTCCAGAGAAGCAGCAGGGGACAGGGGGATACTATCGTACCCTTCCATACAGTAAACACGGATGAGGGTGGTGGCCATCGAGCAGCCAGCGATGACTCCGTTGACACAAAAGTGAGGGCCCTCGAGCCAACCTCCCAAGCTGAGAAAGCGCCCAACCTTGCAGGCAAAGATGCAAAGGCGGGCAATCTCCATAGGAAAACCGAGCCTGCGACAACGGTCTTCTAAACGCGAAAGGTTAATGTTCTCGTAAACTTTCGAGAGATCGAAAAAGATGCTGCAACTGGCGAGGCCCTTAGCGACACCCGCCTCGGCTGTCACCGCCTGCCGCCACACAACGTCAGCTGCTCCCCGATGCTGGCCAGCAGCCCAGTACTCACGGGGGTGGGCCAGCTCCCAGGCCAGGGCCAAGGGACGTCTGCAGCGTCCCCACACCCTGTACCAGGAGGAGAACACCCCCATGGGCCCGTAGCCCCCTGTCGGCTTCGACAGAAGCGCCAAAAGGGCCACAGAAATCTGTGGGGGCAAGACGCCTAAAGCCTCCATGAGGCTGAATTAGAGCTCCCAGGCAGTCAAGGCAGGGATCGGAAAGGAGCGAGCAGTGTCTGCAGTGGAACCCATCCACCGAGATCGCCGAAGCAGTCCTGCAGGACTTCGAAACGTCACTGATTTCTTGGGCGCCCAACCTGGGGAGGCCCTCCAGCCTCTCGAAGGCCGGCTCCGCACCGATCCCAAGGCCCCATAAGGAAGCAAAGCGGTCCCCTTCAGCTTTCAGCAACGAGAGGGGGTCGGAAACCACGTTGCCAGCCGCCGAAAGGGTCGAACTGGCAGCCCACGGGGCAGGGTCCCTAAGGAGGGTATGAACTCTTTTCGCTCCTGACTGCACTCCGACCTAAAGCCAGGCCTTCCAATCAGAGCGGGCCTTGGCACGGAACTTCGGGTCGGCGGCCTGGACGGCCTCGTGCACCTGCGTGTGCAAGTCAGCAAAGGAGTAGGGGTCGACCGTGCGCGTCACAGCCTCCTTCGCCAAACTGAACAGTGGTGCATACTCGTCCTTAGTAACGCCAGTTGACCGAGGAGGCTGCAACAATAGGGCCTTCAAAGTGCCAACCATCGGGGCGCCCGCTCTGAGGGAATTAATGTAGGCCTTGAGCTGCTGACCGAGCCAAACAATCGAACGGTGAGAGGGGTAACGCACCTTGCCATCTTTGGCAAGGACAGACTTCCAAACAAGCTGAGGGCCCAACCCACGGGACCCATATTTGACAGGAGCCTCACCAACCAGAGGAACAAGCTCCTTCTCAGCCAGGTCCGCCCAACGCTGGTAAAGGGGGCCGAGCAGAGAGGCAGCCCCCTGAGGCCTGTCCGACTCAACGAGGTGGACAGCAGCATCAATGAGAAGCTGCACCCCAGACCACACAGGGGGGCAGGGGGCGGGCCCGATTACAGCTTCACACGGCAGGGGGGGCGGCCGACGGAAAGAGAAAGCTTTCAGCACCCCGAGCTGCTTGAAAAACCGAAGGTCCACAGGGCGATGGGGTGAGAGCTCCGTGTCCAACCTCGTGACGATCCGTTCAATGGCCTTGCTGAGACCACCTGACACCACGAAATAGTCGAAGGTGGACGGGGGCCCAGCAGGATAGTGTGTCGGAACGCTTGGCGCGATCAACGCGCCTCGGAGCTCCTGCACGAAATCGGGGCCTCGGAGCACTTCAGGGCCCATATTAAAGCCAGCACCGAGAATCCAGGGTCTCGCGGCCGTGGACAGCACCACCCCCAAAGACGAGAGTAAACTCAAGTTAGCGTCAGAGAGGCCCTCCGAGTGGTGAAGATAGGCCGAGGCAGCGAGGAAAGGGGGGCATCCAGGGATCTCGAAAGAGCAAACCAGGGCGCGCCCACAGACAACCTGACCTCCAGGCACCTCCAAACACCCCAACCAAGAGCGCACGAAAATGGCGACTCCCCCCGAGGAATCGCCCATCTCAGCGGCCGTGGCAGGCGACCAGGCGCTCTTCCAACCGCGGCGGAGGCACCAGGCGCTAGCCTGATCGATATCTTCAGCTCGAATCAGACGGTGCTCTTGACAGAGCAATACATGCGCACCAGTGCCTCCAATCATGCTGCGCATACGGCCCCCGGAGTTGGAATTGATGTCTGAACCCTGGGAGAGACTGAATCGAGCTGGGCGTCCGCAGCATCACCACTGGCCTGGGGAGACCGAGCTCCTTCAATGGGGAAGCACAGGCCATCTAGACCAGAGCTTGCACGTCCTGAGACCAAAACCGAGCGCTTCGAGCAAAAGGTGGCGACTGCAGACCACGTCGAGTCCCCTGGTCCACCAGCGGCCCAGGAGCCCCAAGATCATGGCTGCAAGTACCCAGACTCCCTGACACAGGGCCTGGGCTGCCAGAGCCCACGCCTTGACGAACCTCAGTGGGCTCGGGCAAGGGCAGCCTGACCAGAATGGTACGACAGGGGAGATCCCTGTCCAGAGAGAGCACATGATACTCATCCACTGGACGGGCGAAATTCACAGGAGCCTGGCACTTCCGAATAAATGAGAGACACGGGTGGTCGGCAGCCTTCAAAACTGCTGAATCCGCACGAGTCATGAGGTCACGCCATCGGGCTGACGGTGGGACCTTCTGAAATGATTTCAACCTCTGGGCGAACGCGCCAACAGAGGAGGAAGCGAAAACCAGTGGTAGGCCTCGCTTGCACCACAGAGCAACCTGAGCCGCAGCGCGGCCAAAATTCACCGAAGAAACCATGCCCCCCTGGAGTTTACCGTAGTCCGAACTCACGGCCAACCAGGCCGTCCCGAGCGGCCAGGATCCCCCAGGTCCGAAGCCCGAGATCCCATGGCTCAGAAAAAACTCTAGACTCGCGGGCTCCAGGAGGGGCTCAATCAGAGGCAGCTCCAGCAATCCTGCCAGCACGCGCCCTGGTACTTGACGGAGTGGTAGGAGAAGCCGAGCCCGTCGCAGCCTGCTCCGAGGCAGCGCCAGCAGAAGCAGGTCCTGCCTCTGGGCGGTCTCCACCGTTGGTGCCAGTCGCAGAAGACTCATCCTTACCAGCACCTGCTGGAAGGGGTGCCTGTTCAACTGGAACTCCAGCTCCGTCGACCACCGCACCACCAACCGTCTTGCGCTTCTTGGCAATACGCTGAGACAACTGCTTGTGTTCCTCACGTAACGAATCCACTTTAGCTCTGGCCTCAGCGAGCAGGGAGCGTGTCATGTCCGTGATGCCAGACTTGAAGAGGTCCACACGATCTGCCAACTGCTTGGCCTCATCAGGTGAGAGCTGCTCGTCGTCGGTGATCGTGAAGCAATCTCCCACACCAGGGTCGAACATCTGAGAGAAGCGCTTCTCGTCCAGCAGATCCTCCAAGCAGAGCTTCGTGCCCGAGGCCGTGTCCGACGGAGGGCCTGTGCTCGGCAGCTCGTCATGTAGGCGCCGAACGGGCTCACCATGTTCGCCTTCGGCCTGCTCCAGGCCGCTGCGAAGGACCAGAACTTGGTTCCTCTGCGCCGCGAGTTGAGCCTCCAGCATCTCGAACTTGCTGACGGCGCTCTCCAACTTCTTCTCGATGGTTCGAGCCTTCTGGTGAGCCTTGTTGAGAAGGGCCTGCACCGAGACAGAAGCTGGGGCGGGCGCCGACAGTGCCGCAGCCGCGGTGCGATGCGCAGCTGCTGCCCGAGAGTCGCCCATCTTGTCGTGAAGAGATGCCAACTGTAGGTACTCGTCCGCGGAGAGCTTCGGAGCACCAGCAGAAGGTGGGGCGCCAGCAACTCCTTTGCCTGAACCAGAAACGCCCTTCTCGCCACTCTTCCCAGAGGAGCTGGGGCCGTCACCGAACATGGCAAGAGATTTGTCTGACGACCAGGCCGAACCATACTGGACGGAGTCACGCTTGAGCTGACCGCAGTGCTTGCAAAAAGAATATGGCCTCATTCTTTTTGCAACCGCAGATACTGCACGTCCATCTCTTGGGCGCGGAAATGTGACCAGGATGGCCAGCACCACCAGGAGGAGAACCTTGTGGGCCAGGGACCAGAAGGGGGCCACACTTGGTCGCGCTTAGCGGCCGACGAAGGAGAAACCCACGAGCGGTGCCACGGAGCCCACGAAATGCGCCCATGCCCGCCAGAACCTCCTGCCATCGCACAGACTGAGTCGTGGTAGCGAGTAGCTCCCAAGGAGCGGAAATGAAAGCCTGCGGTTTGAGATCCCGCGAACTGCGATAGAGAAAGCCACAATGGCCCGCAACAGCTGTGTGCCGTTCTGAATCTAAGCTGCTGCAAGCACAGGCAAATGCCTGAGCCAGAACGGCGAGTAGTGGTGGTAGTAATAGTAGTAGTAGTAGTAGTAGTAGTAGTAGTAGTAGTAGTAGTAGTAGTAGTAGTAGTAGTTGTAGTAGTTGTAGTAGTAGTAGTAGTAGTAGTAGCAGCAGTAGTAGTAGTAGTAGTCGTGGTAGTAGTAGTAGTAGTAGTAGTAGTAGTAGTAGTAGTAGTAGTAGTAGTAGTAGTAGTAGTAGTAGTGGTAGTAGTCGTAGAACTAAACATAGTAATAGTAGTGCAAGAGGCGTTGGTGGCATTAGTTGTAGTACTAATAGTAACACCCCTTGTTGTTGCAATACAAATAATCGTATGATAGTAGGTGTAGGAGTAGTAATGACAGTCGTAGTAATGCGAGCAGTAGTAGTAATCGTAGTCGTAATCATAATAAGACTACAAATAGCAGTAGTACTAGGTGGTGGTGGTGGTACTAGTAGTCGTAGTAGTAGTAGTAGTAGTAGTAGTAGTAGTAGTAATAATAGTAATAGTAATAGTAGTAGTAGTAGTAGTAGTAGTAGTAGTAGTAGTAGTAGTAGTAGTAGTAGTGGTAGTGGTAGTAGTAGTAGTAGTAGTAGTAGTAGTAGTAGTAGTAGTAGTAGTAGTAGTGGTAGTGGTAGTAGTAGTAAAAATAGTAGTAGTAGTAGTAGCAGCAGCAGCAGTAGTAGTAGTAGTAGTAGTAGTAGTAGTAGTAATAGTAGTAGTAGTAGTAGTAGTCGTAGTCGTAGTAGTACTAGTGGTGGTAGGTCTAGTAGTAGTAGTAGTAGGAATAATAATGACAACAGTAGTAGTAGCAATACTTGTAGGGGTACCATTAGTCTTACCCTTCGTAGTATGACTAATTGTATTAGTTGTAGTAGTCGCAATCATAATCGAAGTAATAGTAGTAGTCGTCGTAGTAGTCGTAGTAATAGTAGTAGACGTAATATTAGTAGGAGCAGTAGCAGTACCTGTAGCAGCGGTAGCAGTGCAGTAGAAGTAGCAGTGATAGTGGTAGTGGTGGAAATCGAAGTGGTAGTGGAGGGGGAAAGGGAAAGCAGATGTGGGATGAGGAGGAGGAGGAAGAGGAGAAGGAGAGGGCGTTCTGGGAAAACAAGGAACCCACTCAGGATGTAGGGAACTCAACTGCGTTGTTGTACGAATTCTTGTTGCTTCTGGGTGTCTCCGGGAGCCTCTGGGGACCTCCGGGGCCGCTCGACCGTCTGCAGCGCATAACGGCCCTGGGGGCCCGAAAGCGTCCCAGGACGCCGAAGGAGGTCCACCGCCATGTCTCACACCTCAGGGCGGAGACGGGCGCCTGTCCGGGAGCAGCGTGGAGCTTCTCAGGACGACACTGCAGGACTCCAAGTGGCGGTATCGGCGGTGTATCGCTTGGGGCGTCTCTTCTTGAACCGTTTTGGGCTATCGTGTGATCCCTCATTCTGTACTGCTCGTTTGCCCACCTCTAATTGCACTCATATGTCAAGCTGAGAGCGGTCCGAAGCAACCGCCGCACACCGCGACCCCTGCGCCAGGCCACTCGACGGACACCCGGCCAGCGAGAGCCAGCAGCGCCAGGTTGATGGTCAGGAGGCAGAACCGAGGAGGGCTGGTCAGGGAGGGAGCCCAGGCAGCCAGCGTCACAGAAGCAGATCACGACGGCAAGTGTTGCCAAGCTGGGCCTCTGGAGGCCTGCTCTGGGGCCTGGGGCCATCAGATAATATGGAGTCGAGGGGTATGCCAAGCTGCAATCAAAAAGAGGACGTCGTAATTCTAGGAATCAGAAAAGGGGGGGGAGGAGAAGGAGGAGGAGGAGGAGGAGAAAGAGGAGGAGGCTGAGGCTGAGGGGCGGTGGAAGGGGGGGGTGGACGCGGACAAGGGGGGAGGTGGAGAAGCAGACGAGGAAGAGGAGAGCAGGCGGGAAAAGGTAGAACGGAGAGCGTGGCCAAGAGTTGGGGGGGGAAGTCGTTGGCGGTTGGTGGGGGAGTCGCGGGTGGACCGTCGGGCGGTCGTGCGAGCGGGGTGAGCCCATCGTGATCTGCAGAGCCAGAGCGGAACAGCCCGCTGCAGACAACATTTGTTCCAAACAATCTGGGTGATGTGGGTGGGTCGTCGGCGGGTTGTGCGAATGTGGTCGAACCATCGTGTTCATCACGATAAATGCAGGGCAGCCCGCCGCGGGTGCCGATTGTCTCAACGCCACAAGAGGCAGGGGTCACGAATGGGTCGTGTGAGCGGGATCGAACCATACGCAGTGCTCATCATAACCCATGCAGAACAGCCCGCCGCGGGCGCCGATCTGTATAAACGATGTGGGTTGGCCGCAGATGGGTCATCATCGGCGGGTCGCCAGCCGATTCGCGGGGCTGGGTCGCGTGTGAGTCGAAGGGCGAGTCGCGGGCGGATCGCGAGTGGGTCGCGGGGCGAGTCGCATGGCTGGTAACAAACAACAGCATGATTCCGCACCGCGGAACCGCACTTCATCCACGCACCCAGGAACGGTGTAAGACCGTTCGGCCCCCTCGCTTGAGCAATATGCAATCAGACATCTCACAGTATATGCTTTGATGAATGTGGAGGTAGGACAGAAAAGAGGAGGAGGAGGAGGAGACTGAGGAGGAGGGAGAGGATCATGCAGGGGAAGAGAGAGGGAAAGTTCTAGCAGGAGGAGGAGGAGGCGCATTTGCAAACACGTCTAGAGGGAAGAAGGGGAGGTGGAGTTGGAGCGGGAGGAAGACGACGAACAGGAGCAGGAGGTTGGGGACAGGGGAAGGGCTGATAGAAAAGGCAAAGCACGGATGGGAAAAGGAGGATAAGGAGGGAGGGAGGAAAGACGGAGGAGCCCTACTGCCACGTCAAGCACGCGCTCGATGGGGTGCTGCACTGCGGCGTCCACCAAGCGCGGCCTAAAGCGCCACGCGCACCAGAGCAGGCATAGCTGCACGATCGATGTCAGGCCGAAGCCGGCCATCTTCCAGTTGCGGATGCGCCGCGCCAGCAGCAGCCCAGCGACCAAGGAAGATGGAGGAGGAGGGACGAGAGAGAACCATTGAGGACCGAGGTTCGACTTCTCGGGTTCCCCTCACGGGTCTGGTCAGTACGCACCCCTGGAGAAGCTTCAGGAACGCTGCTTCAAACAAGCGGAAGGAGGAGGGAGGAGGAGAAGGAGACGGAGGGAGGAAAAGGAGGTGCAGGAGGAAGGAGGCGGGAGGGAGGTGAGACCCAGTACCGACCGCGGGGGAGAAGGCCCGATTACGCCAGAAGGGAAGAAGACGGGCTGCCTGGTGTGAGATGCAGGTTACCCCGCAACCAACGAGGCGCGGCCAGAAACCGCCGATCTCCCCAGGGCCTTCCCCCCAGGCCGGCATTGCGACCTTCCCTCTGACATAGCTGCTCAAGTACACCCTGGAGGAAGGGAGGGAGGGAGGTGAATGAGATGGCAATCGGATGTGGTGCCAATAACAGACTAAACACGTCTAACACCATCGCAATCGATGCGTTGATATATACATATATATGTGTGTATACATATATCTATACACATATATATATGCGTACGCATACACAAATTCATATCGATCAAGCGCGTCGGATGCCTCCTGCATTGATTCAAGACGAAGCTCTCAGGAGGAGGACGACGACGAGAAGGAAGGGGGGAGGCGGACGAGGCCAAAGTCAAGGCGTTAGGACGTCAGCCAGTGCAATGACTACCGCATTCAGGACCCTACCATCGGTACGGATGCGAATGCCCGCCCCCCTGCGAGAACAAGTGGGCCCATCTACCGCAAACCATAACGTGATGCGTACGGTGTGGCAGGGGAGGGAGGTAGAGAGGGGACAGAGGGAGGAGGGCGGACGGCGGAAGAGAGCGAGGAGGCGACCGCATTCAGGGCCGCGAGGAGCACGTAGGCGGGCAGGGCCCAGCCTGCAGCGGTCAGGAAACATCCACATCCATTTCTTATAGGGTCCTACCCCAGGTCCCTGAGGAGCGGTGAGTGCATTTTCCCGCTTACAGGTTGAGAGGCAGCCCCTGGGAGATCGACTGAGAGCAGTGCAGTTGAGCCCACTGCAGGCCGATATTCAAGGGCTATTCTGAAGCCCGATCAAAGCAAGGGCACAGGGCATGATCAGGCTGGATTCAGCGGAACTACAGCCGAACATATGATCACCAAACCTATCATCCAACAAACCGGGGCCAGTGCCCTGGAAACTTCTTCAAACAAACCTGGGTCCATTTCTGTTGTTAACGCTGGAGGGGTGAACGTGCTCCAGAAACTGGGCCAGCTTTCCAGCAAGATTGTTAAGAAACGCTGGTCCAGCATTTCGGGAGGTTTCTCAACCAGATGCTCGACTATAAGCCAGGTGAAGTCGGACTTCAACCAAAGATCGTTGTACCAGGGCCGATACTGAAGTCAACCTGCCAGGCTTTGTTATCTGACAAAGGGGGCGGATGCGGGCAAGATGTTGTATTGGTGTCCACTGCATTTTGGAGTTTCGGGCTTCCTTCCCCAGAAGCCAGAGGCGTAGATAATCTGGATAGAAACCTGCTCATCAAGGCTCGATGTTTATCCATATCAACTGTGCCTCTGCCTTTTGGCGCCCCTTCCCAGAAAGTCCAAGACGCAGTGGGTCTGGA